TGACCAGCCCACCCAGAAAGTGTCCCCCCACCCCGCCCTCACCCCGAGGACTGCCTGCCCACACATGTCTGCAGTCGGGATGGATCTCACTGAGCTTTACGGGCTCCTGCTCTCTCCTGTAAAGGCTTCGCCTCCGAGGGCAGTGGCCCCGACCGGAGTCCCTCTGGCATGTGGGAGCCTGAAGGGCAGAAGGCTCCACCCCGAAGCTGGAGGCCCAAGCAGGCCAGGCCCAGACAGCTCCCCCAAAGCTCCCCCACACTCTGGCCTCCCGCCAGCCAAGTCTCCGGGAAGGTGGCAGCCCTGCGCTTTGTAGTCTTAAGTGGTGGGAGGCCGAGCCCCACAGGCTGTCCCAGCAGCCACTGCACCGTGAGAAGGCGAGTCCCTTCCTGCTTCTTGGCTTCTTGGTGATAGGGCTCTGCCCCCACCTCCCACTAAGGGCCACAGCCCCAGGGCCATCACACAGCCTGGACTTCGGGAGTTGCCTGTGTGGCCCTTGGGGAGCTTTGGCTAGGAGGCCTGGGAATGTGTCCAGAGCAGCCCCACGCTTTCTCTCCTGCCGTCTGCGGTCAGCCTGTCAGCCACGAGGTAGCCGGTCTCCCTCCCTGAATGTGGGTTGGTTAAGGTTACAGGTGAGCCCCTCTCCTCCTTGAAGCCTCCCCCAACCCCCCCCAGTTCTGCAGGCTCCCCGCTCAGAGACAGTCTGGACTCTCCTCCAGCCCTCCGCCATTCGCTCTGAGGCTCAGCGGGCAGAACAACGTTCAGTATCTGGGTTATGGCACGTTTGCTGACAGCTGCCCCTATTTATTGGACCGTGAGGCAGGCTCCAGGCCCAGCACATTACATGTTTTGTCCCATTTAATAGGGGTTCTTGTTGCCCCCACTCTCAGGTGAGGAAACTGAGGCTTAGACTTGGCCATGGCTGCACAGCCAGTTAGTGGAAGAGTGAACATCTGACCTGAACTCGGGTCTGGTGGACGCCCAAGCTGAGCACTTCAATGCCATACTCAGTGCTTCCCACTGCCCCTCTGAGACCAGAACAGCCATCACCTCTCCCCAGTGCCTGCCCAAGACACCCTGCCCCCCGGGGAACGGCGACTGTGGCCCCAGTTGGGGAGGATTTCTCTATGGCTTTTGTCTGTGTTGGTCCCTTTGTCCTTTGGAATGCTTGGGAGCCTACATGGCACTAGGCCTAGAAACGGGGTGGGACGGGAGTGCACATACAGAAGCAAGGAGGGGACAGGGACATCACAAACAAGCACCCCGTGAGCTTGTCCACACCCACCTCCACTGAGCGAGGGGGTGGCCCAGCCTCCAACCCAGGCCCCCACGGGGCAGCCCAATTCATAGCCTCAGTGTGGGGAATGAGGAGGGGCCAAGAGGCAGCTGGGCCGCCTCAACAGCTGTACCTGCAGCCACCTCCTCAGAGATCAACTCCAGCTGGGCCTGGGGTAACACGATCTGGAAAGAATGTGACACTTGATTCTGCAAACAGCCCCGCGGGGCCAGGGCGCAGAGACTGTTTGCCATTCCAGAGTCACCCAGGATCTCCCGGGCCAGGCTGTTCCGGGCAGGAACCCAGAACAACACACTGCAAACAAGTCCAGTGAGGCCCACGCTTGAACTGGGCTTCTCACGCGGCCCTACACGGGGCGTCAGAGCTGTCTAGGTGGTTCTGAGGAGAGGACAGTGCTTTGAAGGTGTGGCTCCTGATAAGAAATCCTTCCCCAGTAATTCACAGGCTGCATTTCCAGTTCCCACCACTTGCCCAGAAGCACCAGGGGAAAGATGTAAGGGAAGTCTGAGCTCAGCAAAAAGATAGCTACAGGGAGAAGGTTGGACTGGCCGTAGCACCTGATGACGTCACCGCTGGGAGCCTCTGCGGGCTCGCTTCCAGTGCTCTGCGTGGTTCCTGCTTGTGCTCTGGCTCCGAGCCTCCTAGGAACTCGATTCCCTGTCGTCCCCACATCATGCCTGTTTCACACTGGTGTGTGGCCATCCTCGCCCTGGTCTGGGGAGAAAGTCATGATGGCCAGAGAGAGGCCAGCCTGGAAAGTGATGGCCCAGATCCTCCCGCGGCCTCCCTCAGTGCCAGACTCCAGTTGAAGCTGAACAAGTTCTGAGTACCTAACGTCGTGTGGTGATTATACTTAATAATACTGTGTTATATACTTGAAAGTTGCTAAGAGTAGATCTTAAATGTCCTCACCACAAAAAAGGATGGTAATTATATGAAGTGGTGGGAGTGTTAGCTAATGCTATGGTTGTAAGCATTTTGCAATATATAAGTGTATCAAATCAACAGCCACACAGTAAACTTACACAGTGTTATATGTCAATTTCATCCCGATAAAGCTGAAAAAAATTAAAATACAAAAAATGAATAAAGCATCTACAAAAACTTTTTAAATACGGGACAACTGGATATTCATCCACATGCAAAAAGATATTAACTTGGACTCCTTAAAAAAAAAAAATTTTTATAAGAAATCAAATCATAAATCTCTCTGACCTCGGATTAGATAGCAGTTTCTTAGCTACAACACCAAAAGCACAAACAACCAAAAAAAGAAATAGGTAAGTTAGAATTCATCAAAGTCTCAAAAATTGTGCTTGAAAGGACATTATCAAGAAAGTGAAAAGACATCCCACAGAATTGGAAAAAGCATTTGCAAATCATATATCTGATAAGAGACTTGTATCTGATATACAGATAACTCTTACAACAACAATGAAAAGATAAGTAATTCAGTTTTAAAATAGGCCAGTTGCTCAGTGATTAGGCCCTCAGATTGGAGGGTCTTGGGTTTGATTCCTGATAAAGGGCATGTACATCAGCTGCAGGCTCAATCTCTGGCCCCTGGTCAGGGCACGGATGGGAAATAACCAATCAATGTGTCTCTCTCACCTTTTTCTCTTTCTCTCTGTCTCTCCCTTTCCCCTTCCCCCCTGCACTTTCTAAGAAAAAAAAAAAAAAAATCTCAGGATAAAAAATTAAAAAAAGTAGACACACAATGTTTGAATAGACATTTCTCCAAAGAAGATATACAAATAGCCAATAAGCACAAGAAAAGATGGTCAACATCATTAATCCTTAGAGAAATGCAAATCAAACCCACAATGAGATACCACCTCCCATTCACTAGGAGGGCTATAATCAAAAATACATAGCCGAAACCGTTTTGGCTCAGTGGTAGAGCGTCCATCTGCAAGCTGAAAGGTCCCAGGTTCGATTCCGGTCAAGGGCATGTACCTTGGTTGTGGGCACATCCCCAGTAGGGGGTTTCTATCTCTCTCCCTTCCTCTCTGTAAAAAATCAATAAAATATATATATTTTTTTAAATAGATAACAAGTATTGGCGAGAATGTGTAGAAATTGGAACTCTCTGCATGGGAATGTAAAATGGTGCAGTAAAGTCTAGCAGTTCCTCAAAAGTTTACACATAGAGGGTGACTATATGATCCAGAAATTCCTCTCCTGGGCATATACTAGTAACCAAGAAAAAGGGAAACATGTTCACACAAAACCTTATATATGCATATTGACAGCAGCATCATTCTTAATAGCCCAAAAGTAGAAACAACCAAATGGTCTACCAACTGATGAATGGATGAAGTATGTTTTATCCATTCAGTGGGAGATTATTCAGATGTAAAAATGAGGGGGAAATGGAGAATGGCAGCTAATGGGTACAGAGTTTCTTTGGGGGCTGACAAAAATGTTCTGGAATTAGTGCTGATAGATGCCCATCTTAGTGAATACACTGCACACCACTGAGTTGTGCAAGTTAGGACTTGATGGTGTGTGAATTATATCTCACTTGAACTGTTCTCTTTGTAACGTCCTGTTCATATCTTGGGCAGACGGAGTGAGGATTCCTACTAACACCTCTTTCCAGCAGTGCTTGTTGGAGTCAGTATCTGTTAGCAAGGAAAAAGGGGAAACGCAAGGAGTATATTGGGATGTGTGAATACACTATGCATTCCGTCAGCCTTGCCCTTGTCCCCTCCTCTCCCTTCCTTGGTGCTGGATGCTGGATGTAGGGTGATGTGGGGAGGGGTGGCCCTCAGTGTGTTCTCAGCTAGGACACATCAGAGGGAGACCTCCATTGTGCTTCTGGTTGGTCCTAAAGCCAACTGCAGGCTTTGAAAGTCTTCAGAGTACAACTCTAAAAGAGATTCTTTACCTGAAGATGAGGAAGAATGTCTGATTTCAAAACATTGGGTGCATCCCTGGCCCATGTGGCTCAGTTGGTTGGGTGTTGTCCTGTGCACCAAAAGGTCGCAGGTTTGGTCCCTGGTCGGAGCACATGCCTGGGTTGTAGGCTTGATCCCCAAAAGGGGACCTGCAAGAGGCAGCCAGTCGATGCTTCTCACATCACTGTTCTTATCTCTCCCTCTCCCTTCCTCTCTCTAAAGCCAATAAAAACATATTTAAAAAACATTGGGTGCAGAATAAAACATCGGTCACATTTCATAGCATGTGTTGTCTCTAATCTGGTGGTGTGGGCACAGTTCCTCTTTGCTCAGTCACGCTGGGGAAGGAGTGTGGCTTTGCCTCTCCAGGTGTGTCAGTTTGAGATTGTGGGCCTGTCTTGCCCCTTTTTTCTCTTTGACTTGTCATTTGTCAGTTGGCCAAAATAAAGGCCATATTTTATTAATTGAGATAATGAGTAGCAGTTTGTTTTTTAAAATTACATAACACGTAGCAGAGGGTCTTACAGATGGGCAGTGTTCACTAAGTGGCTGGGTTGACTGGGGGGGCGGGGAGAACAAGTCAGGGGGTATGTGTGTAGTAAGCAGAGTTGCTTGGACATACCTGTGTAGCTCTTGTTTTATTGCTGTCAAATGCGGCCCTTGATTGAAGATTTTCCCTCATGTTGTTCCACACAGACAACCACCACCATCTTTTTGGCATTTATAACTGTTTATGTCCTGGGGGGTGGGCTGCCCATCGTCCTGTGGACACAGAGTAAACCCCAGCTCCATCCCTTCCTCTACAGGTACCAAAGGCTTAGAATGTTCTCCTTCCTCTCCCACCATGAACTCCTACTTCTACAAGTTCATGATCAACCTTCTCAAGAGGTTCAGCAGTGAACGGAAGCTCCTGGAGGTCCGAGGCGCCTTCATCATCAGGTCAGCGTCACCTACTCTCCTCCTCGCCCTGTGCGGTGTCCCACCCGCCACTTTCTCTTTCGTGTCACTTGTCTCCTTTTCCTGACCTTTGTGTTTGTTCTTCAAAGAAACAAAAAGGTCCCCGCTTCACACTGGTGGTACTGACTTGAGGCAGGTCACTGTCACCATTTTCAAACAAAGGAATTCGTTTTTTCCGCTTCTGAGACAGTGTTTCCCTTTGAGGTTGAATATTGTCTCATTGAATGCCCTAGTGGGAGTCTTTGAGGAGTGAGGGAGTAGGTAAGCCAGATGGGCATGAACCAGGCTGTGCCAGGTGACCCACTGCCAACATGGGGCCCAGGGTTGCTGGCAGCGGTGCAGCCAGATACTCGAGTCATGCGAGCCTAGACCTGGATGGTGCCTGGGCCCCAGCCCCTGCCACTCAGCGCCTCTCGAACTGGAGCATGGCCAGGTCTGGCCGTTTGCCTCCTGCTCAGCTCCAAGGAGCAGGGTTAGCAGAAGAGTCACCTTCAGACCAACAAAATCTAGATCTTCCAGGGGGAGGACTTCTCCAAATAGTCTGAGCGGCAGTTCTCTCAGCTCTGGCCGTGTTAGGTCACCCAGGAGGTTTAAAACAGAAGTCGATGGCTGGCCCTCCCCGGATCAGTGAAATCAGAACCTCTGGGGTGATGAGGGTGTTAAAGCCATCCAGATAGACTAACGTGGCCCCAGGCGTCAGGGAGGCTTCAGAGGCCATCGGGAGGACGGGGAGTTGAAGGAGCGTCTGGCCTGTACAGCCTTCAAGGCAGGGAGAAGCATGGAGCGTTCATTTTGCCGGAAACCAGAGGCAAGAGCCAGTGGAGCTCAGCCTTATGGGCCAGACTAGGGGTTGGGGGCCTTACCCAGGAGTCACGGGGAGCCACTGAGAGGGCTTGAGCAGGGAAATGGTGTGACCGGTTTCTGGTTTAAAAGATGACTGTGCTGCTAGGGGAGGATGGGGGCAGGGGCAGGATGGATATGTGGGAGGCTGCTGTCCAGGTGAGAGATGGTGGCAATTGTTGGGGGAGGTTAAGAAGCAACTTGATTCAAAAGTACAAGATTTGGTGATCCGCTGCAGGAGGGAATGAGGGGAGAGGGAGGGAGGAGTGACACACAGGACCCTGGTGTGATGGCAGGTGGATGGGATGACAGTCCCTGGGATGGGGGCCCTGGGGGAGGAGCAGGGAGGGAGGAGGGGCCTGTATTTGAATGTAAATTGCTTTGGGAGCATCAAAGGAAAGGTTGAAGCGGTTTCTGTACCTGTCTCTCAAAACAGGGGCCTAGGCCTGAGATACAGATCTGGATGTTGATGGCATAGGCATCCACTCATTCACTCATTCATTCATTTATCAACAGATTTGACTGAATACTGATTCTGTGTGAGGTACCATTCTGACCTCATGTGCTTGTGGGGTTGTCATTCTTCGGAAGTGAGAACAGTCTGCTGTGAGAGGCAGAGAGCGGAGGGCAGGGGCTGCGCTGAGCCTGAGGAGCTCCCTGTTCCGGCTGGGGAGAAGCCAGGAGGAGGCTGAGGAGAGGGCCCGGGAGGCAGGAAGAAGCAGAGGAAACAGGGATGGCTGAGCTTGGCGGTGAGCAACCTGGAGAACAGGCAAAGGATTGAGGCGAAGGGACAGGCCTGCCTCTCCGGAAGGACAAATAGCAGGACCACAGAGTCCCTGCCCTCCCAACACGTGGCTTTGGGGGTGGGAGAGTGTCCGCACCGTTGGCAGTCGGGGTCGGTCCTTGCTTGTGGCGGGAACTGTGCAGGGTCGGATGATGAGCAGCATCCCTGGTCTCCACCCACCAGCTGCCCGCAGCACCGCGCCCACCCAGTTGGGACAAACAAAAAAGGCTTCAGACATTTCCAGTGTCTCCTGAGAGCAACATTACCCTGAGTGAGAACCAAGGTTAAGAGGGACAGAAATGGATCCTTGTCCTCATTGGCTAAGGGAGGAAGATTTCCATGGTTTTCCAGCACCTCAAGCTGGGCAGTCAGTCGGGGATTGAAGCGGAGGTTAGATGTGGTACCGAAGACCCCCCACCAGGAAAATGCCAGCCTGTCCCCCACATGAGTGACAGCTCGCTGTGTGTGGTTTTCCAAATTGCAGAGGTGCCAGCCCTCTGACGAGCCCTCCTTGCCTGGAAGACTTTCAGAAACCAGTGGAGACAGGCCTTCGGAAAGGCATTCATAGCTGCCCTCCTCCCTGGAGGATGGGCTGTAACGGGTTCTCCCATCCTCTCAGCCTCACAGGCCCCATTAGGGGCTGGGCCTCCGGAACTCGGGGGTGAGCAGCACCCCAGACTGCACCAAGCGGCAGTGCGGCTGGGGCCCTGCCTCCGCCCATCTTCCCATTTACAACAATGAGGCTTCGCTGGCTTTGCAGTGTCTCCCAGGCATCCAGGGCTGGGGAGAATCCTCATTTTGCAGAAGGGAAATGAGAGGAGGCCATGGACCCTTCCGGCTTGATCGGAGCTGGGCTGCAAACCCTTGCACTCTGCTAACTCCGCAGCTGCCTCTTTGCCCCTTCTGAGAGAGGGCCGAGTCCCGTATCCTGAGGGGCTGGACAGCCTGAGAGCCAGGACCAGTTGGGTCCAGCTTGTCAGAGGGGCTCCTTTCTCCTGGTGCAGGGCACTCAGTATAGCCAGCATGGTGATCGTTCGCCGTTCTGGTGCTCATATCCCTCAAGGGACCATGCTTGGGCCTCCTGGGCAAGAGCCTGGCCTCCCTCCTCCCCCCACTCCCTACCCCCACGCCCCGCACAGCCCCAGAGGCCTCCTAGCCCTTGGCACTCGCACCGAGAACCAGGGCTGGGCCCTCACACATGTCCCTCTTAGCCCTTGGCTTCAGTTGTCCAGCCTGCTATTACTCTAAGCAGCACCAGCACCTGTCAGTCCGTGTTCAGGCCGACAGCCACCTGGCCCTTCTGGGCCACGCCAGCGCTGTGAACCTGCTGCCCGTTAAGCCAGCGTGCCAGGCCGCAGCCGGCCAGCCCAGGTCACCGTCCAGGCCAGCGGGCTGGCTGTCAGGGCGGCACCGCACAGCGTCAGACTGGGAGGCGGCCTTGAAGGTGTGCTTTCTCTTCGGCAGAGATCGCTGGGAGGAGCCCTCGGGAGGGGCGGCCTGCCTGCAAGCTTCTCGCCTCATTTCCTTACATTCTGCTCAGGGCTCTGAGGAGGAGAGTAATCATGGTGCGTGCCGGCTGCTGGGAGGAAGCCGCGGGCCTGATGAGATACAGTAAATGGAACTATAAGTTGCTCCTCTTAACCCCCAAGACCAGTCGTTGGGGGGGGAAGGAAAGGTTCTCTGGCAGACCATCTCTGTGGCAGTGCTAGCTCCGGGTCCAGGAGCGGCTGCGTGTCCAGGACGCAGGCATCTGGAGGCAGACATCTGGTGGGGGCCCTGGCGTTGAGGAAGATGCCTGACTTCCCTAGGGACCCAGAGCGTTTCCACTCCCCCACAGCTTTCCCAGGCTGCACCTCCGAGGGGGCTGGGAATGGGGCCCGAACTTCAGCCCGGCCCTGGGTGGTTGGACATCCTCTCTGGATCCAAATGGCCTATTTTCTGGCGGACATAGCAGTGTATACGCCTGCTGAGTTTGGGGAAGCCAGTGGCTCCAAAACCTCATCGCAGCCCGACTTTGTGGGAACTGCTCGCAAGTCCACATATGGAGGGAAGACAGGACAGGGTTAGGGGGTGCTGAGAGGGGGCTGGTGCCGGGCACCCCCAGCCCTGCCCCGGCTCACACACACACCCTCCACAGGCGTGCGGCCCAGGATTAGGAGGGAGCTTCTGGAGTGAAACCGACTTGGTTTAACGGCGTGACCCGTTTCCAGGGCCGGTTTGCTTTGCCTGTAAGACGAGGACAATGGTGCTGCCTGTCGTTTGCGGAGAGGGTTACATAAGACCGTGCGTGTCACAGCTCTCAGCACAGCTCCGTTCAAAGGGGAGCTGTTGTTCCGCCTGGCGATGTGGCCTTGGCCTCCCACGGTGGGCGGTGGGGAGGGGAAGCCGGACTTGAGAGGGTGAAATAATTGAACCTCCTGTGCCAACCGCTGGCTCCGGCGCACCGGGCCGCTGCCCCGGCACCCAGGGCACCCATCCGCGGCCCAGCCCCGTTAAAACAACTCTGCCCGGGGTGGGTGTTCGTGTACATTTATTTCCCTCTCCCAGCCTCCTCCCACCCTCCACGCCAGTGCAGGCGGGACAAGCGCGGGCCTTGTTTTCCCATGAACCGGTCACTTATGCTGAGTAGAAAAGGCGAGGAGGGAGAAAACGCAGCCCCTTTGATAAACTGTGATATGAACTCCGGCGTAACCCAGCAGCTGGGGTCCTCACAAGGCCCGCTGTGTGCCGGGAAGGGAGCGGGGTGAGGACGCCCCGCTCCGCCGGCCAAGACGGCCCTCTGGCCAGCCGTCCCCTGCCTGAATCAGCCGAGCCTCTTCCCCTCCTCTTCCTCCCTGCCGCCTGGCAAGGGGACTGACCGGCCGGAGAATGCTTTCTTTTTAACCTGCGGCTGTGCTGTGAACGCGAAGGCTCCAACCCCAGCCAGCCCCGTCCATGGTGGGTGAGGTCCCAAGCACCCTCCGCGGGGAATGCGGTGCCTCTGAGAGGGGCGGGTGTTTAGAGAGCGCGGGCCCAGGGCCCAAGTGAAGTGGGGGCAGTCAGGAGGCTCCTTCCGTGAGACCCAGGCCCCCCACTCCCTCCCCAGCATTTACATAAGAGCCCTGTGTCGGGCGGGCGGCCTGCCCTGGAGTAGGGAACTGATTGGCCGCGGAGGTGGGTGGTGGGGCCGGGGAGCCAAGGCCCAGGAAGCCGCTGGAAACTGGACTTGTTTTTAATTGCAGGGGCTGGGGGGAGGGCCTCGAGAGAAGAAGCTCTTTCATGCCGTGATTGGGAAATTCCACTTTGCTATCCTTGTGCGTTCCGCCCGGGAGACAAGCCCTTGGCTGGGGCCAAATGGCCACTGTGGCTGCGGCCGCCC